CTTCATCGCAGGAGCTCTACGTAGTCAACGAACAGATCCACACTTCGCTGTCGCAAATATTGACCATATTCCCCTCATCGGCCTTTCTGAAGACCCAACGGGCGTTGCTCCACTACCACAACAAAGACTTTGACGACGCCGAACAGATCTTTTCCGACTTGCTCGTATCGGATCCACATCGGGTTGATCATCTTGACAATTATTCCAACATCCTGTATGTCATGGGCATGCGACCCAAGCTTGCTTTCCTGGCACAGCTCGCCACAGCGACCGACAAGTTTCGACCGGAGACATGTTGCGTAGTGGGCAACTACTACTCGCTCAAGTCGGAGCACGAGAAAGCCGTCATGTACTTCCGACGAGCTCTGACTCTAGACCGGACCTTCCTTTCCGCTTGGACGCTTATGGGCCACGAGTTTGTGGAGATGAAGAACACCCACGCCGCTATTGAATCATATCGTCGCGCCGTTGATGTCAATCGCAAAGACTACCGCGCCTGGTATGGACTTGGTCAGACATACGAAATGCTGGAGATGCACTCGTACGCTCTTTTCTATCACCAGCGCGCCGCTGCCCTCCGACCCTACGATCCGAAGCTATGGATGGCGGTCGGTCAATGTTTCGGCAAAGTGGGCAAGATCATGAATGGCATTCGATCATACAAACGCGCATTAGTCGCAGGCTCATACTATGATGCCGGTGTGGGTGCCTCTTTCGGGAGTAGTGAGGTCACTGGTCTAGGTGGAGGTATCCTTGATCCCGAAGTACTCTACCAGATCGCCCTGCTTTATGAGAGGATAAACAACATGAACGAATGCGCGGCATACATGGAATTAGTGCTTGCACAAGAAGAAGGGCCAGATTACGAAGAAGTAGGCTCCGAAGCCGCCGGTGGTGTCGGTGTTACTGCAACGACAAGCAAAGCCCGACTCTGGCTCGCTCGGTGGGAGTACATGCGCGGCATGTACCAACGGGCCATGGAACTAGCGAACGAGCTCTGCCAAGACGGCGTAGAGGTAGAAGATGCGAAAGCACTAGTGAGAGACATCAGAGCGCGCATGGAACGCGGCGGAGGAGACGCGGAAGATTGATTAGACACAGCGTCTCGAAAGTTTGGGCATTTGCAGGCGTACAGGTATGATACCCAAGCAATACTGGATCGCAACATGTATCATATACATTACTACTTGATAGCGCATTGCAGGATCTCGATACATTTCCAGTTCATCATTGTATCAGGGCTTGGTCCCGTGACATTGAACGCCTACTTGCCGTATAAATGCGCAGTCCTACCCTCACCCCACCGCGGGTTTCCACCACTTTCCTTCTCCCAGCGCTTGTCTTCATCTTCCATCTCCCGCATTCGTGCACCTCCATCCTTTTTCTTGATCCAGGGTTCCGTGTTGCCGTCTTTGCCTTCCGCACTTGCAATCTTGCGACTGGCTTCTGCCAGAGCTAGGTCTTCGATCTCTCGCATCCGCAACTCGGCTGTGATGTAGTTGAGCGTTCGCTGCATATCGCGTGCATCGTGGCCGCGGCAGTCTAGGATGTAGAGTTGGTGTGTTATCGAGGCTTGAGCGGAGATGAGAGATGGAGTGGGCGAGAGCCGGATGGTGGTGGGTGCCCAGGGATGGGGGTGCGTGAAGGCGTTGAGTGCTAGGGAGGTTGACATCGTGCTTGGTTGATAGTGTTATGCTGTTATGTTATCGAGATAGTCCTAGGCTGTGGAATTTGACGTATAGAGGTAGATCTAGGACGGGGATGTGGGCGAGGGAGAGTGGGGATCGGGTTGGGTACGTTAATTGCGAAACTGTGAAGGCTTGCTGACGTGACAGGAACACCTCAACTTCTGTGTTGTTCCACGCACAACGTTTCTGCCGACTATTGTGAAGAGGCATCGAACATTCGAATATCGTGTTCGCAAACACGGTTCCGAGAGATGGTGTATGCACCGTTGGCAAAGACAACGGATGGCGTTCCCTAGATCGTATCCGTCGTCAGTGAACTAGGTCTCCTGTCACAGAAGGCTAGCTCGCAACAGCTGCGTGTTCACGGCTTTCCAAGACCGTGATACAATCTGTACGCTACCAAGTACATAAAGCTTGTTGCCCAACCCTTCTTTTGACTATACTCACCACCAGCGTCAGCAAAACCTCGCCAACGACAGATCGACCCGATAAGGAAACCCACAGCAATAGCACATAACATCGAGACACATTTAGGCGCACCTTGCTTATCATGCCTTTTGGAATGGCATTCTCGTATAGGCATGCCCCTAACTTTTGCGGAATGGATGACTATCCTGAGCATCCTTGGCCCCTGGATTGGATCGAGAGGCAGAGTCTGGACTACCTTCTTCAGACTCACAACAACATGTACAGAGAACTGCAGAAGTTCCCGGAAAGAAGCAACGTTCGAGGCACGGCTAGTAGGATCGAAGAGTATCTTAGGACGCACGGCGCGGTGATGCTCGGAGAAGTGGGAGGGGGTGGTAACATCAACGTTCAGTTGTCAGCACCAGCACCACCAACACCACCACCAGTCCAGGCGCAGCCGCCTCAGCAAAACATCGTTGTTCATCATCAAGTACAACAACCACCAGTACAGCAACCCGCACAGCAGAATGTCATCTACCATCAGCAAGTACAGCCGCAGCCGCAGCAGAACGTGGTTTACCAGCAAGTGCAACAGCCTCAGGTGCTCAGCATTCCTGCTCCTGTGGCCACACTGACTATGACATCCACGCCTGTGCAGGGTTTTGTGATTGGGGGGATTGTCACACCACGCATCGGGTATGTGAGAAGCCCTAGGAGCTTCGGAAGGCGAGGGTTCTTTGATTACGACAGTGATAGTGATAGCTATTAAGGCTAGTTGGTACGATGGATATTCTTGAGTGAAGGCTGGGGGATGGTGATGACGATGATGATAGTGTACTGAAGCCATTCTATAGCTGACGATCTTGAACAATGCATATTTTACATTCTACGCTTATTTTGTTAGCGCCAGTGCCGCTAATGGTCGATTTTAATTGCGAAATGAGAAAGTTGCCGCTCACGTACTGGTTCATAAGTATGTCAGCGTTTAGTAGATGGAATGTACGTTGAGGCTGTCGCGAAACTAGATACACTCAGTAAGGTGAGTACAAGTATGTTGTTGATAATTCGACATCTTCGTTCATCATACAGATCATGACACGCCGACACAGGGAATGTTTTGTTCACAGTGATCGCACTCTCTACGTCAAGTCTTGGTCGTGTTTCTGCGTAACGACACGGTCTGAGGATCACATTTCCACAGCACGCTGGCAGTTAGTGTCACGCAAGAGCCTAGGATTCAATGTCTGTTTAGAATATAAATCTCCTCCCTAGAACACACACTCTCTCTATCAAACACTACACTTTCTAGCTAATTACAAAGCGCATCTCTATCAACTTCAAGCAAAGCCAACTTGTCCTCTTCGCTACACACGGTAAACCCACTCACAACACCGCTTATACACACTCGATATGTTCCGATCATCGCGCAGACCTGACCCCTTTTTGCACATCCATCCTTGGGCGTACCATCACTTGAACCCTCTCTCGGATGATCAGCTCGTCGGTCTTCTCGATGCAATCGACGACTCAATGTCTGGCAATATCTTTGTAGACCTCATAGGGCCTAGCTGGGAGGAGACTAGGAACAGGATTTTGCGCATCCTTGAACAAAGGGGTGGCAATGCCATAGGTATATTCCCGGGCTCAAGGTTTGGAAAATTTGGCACATTCCCACGCATGTCGTCATCTCTCTCAATCACACAGACAGCGCCAATGCCAAATGTTACCATCCAGACCATCCCAGCTCCACAGCAAAACATCACCTTCCAGTCCATTCCAGCGCCACAGCAAAATGTCACCTTTGTACCCGCTCCAGCCCCAGCTCCTCTACCGCCCCCGGCCGCGCTGCCAGACATTCATTATGTTACATTATATGGCCCATATGGTAATGTCATCGGAACCCGACTCGAGACGGAGAAAGAGAAGGACGACAGGGAGTATGCGGCTTGGAAGGCGGAGCATGGAGCCAAGTAGGAGGCGTCAGGCTACGTTGGACGGACGTGAAAAGCACCTAGGTAGCTTAAGAGACGGGTAGGAGGAGCATGACGAAGTCGGAACTTGTTGCGCATACGGAGATGTTGAAGAACTGTAGCTTGATCATATGAACACGAAATCGATCCTTGAAAAAGCGTGTCTGATGTGACCTATAAGCTGTGACGCTGTTGTGCGGGTTCAGGCTGCTGTGGATCAACACGCTGTAGCGCTGTCGAGCGACAGCACTTACTTCCGCTGACATCGCCAGAAACTTTTACCATACAAAGCTGCTGCACTAGAAAGATATAGTACTAGATTCATACCCAGACGTGCTTGTTGCTATGATTATGGACGACTGTGGTGATGTGCCAGTGGACCTCGGGTTGCTTAGTAATGATGACATCATTGGCTATTGATCCTTCCGCGTTCTCAATGATGGGAAGGCTGCAAGTTCCTACACCTCACACTGATCTCACTCTGCCCTTGCTATCAACGACTGTGAATCTTTCGGGTTGACCATGCTTCGCCACATCTTTTCCAAGGTTGGGCGTGGCCCAAGAAGCCTGGTGCGTTACAGTGTCCACGATGTTTGCGGTAAACACGTACGAGGATGATCGAATCTTCACAGGCCGACGCTTGACATGCGTAACTATTGACATGTGGTGGGTATTGGAAGCCGCCCTTGGAATTCCATAATTAAGCATCACACGAAGAGCACACCCGCACACAATACAAAGCCGTCCTTTTCTATGCGCATGCCCTCACCATCGTACTTCCTGCATTCCTATCTATCATCATCGTACTCACATCAGTATCATATTCCGAATTAGCTTTTCAGCTTGCGACATGTTTACCCTCCGTATTCCAGGCCGATTTCGCCGTTCTGTGCTGACTCGCCGGCACCCGATTTCAATTTTTGCGTTGGGTGCTATGTCTGACGAGGAACTGGTCATGGCTTTTCATATCCTACTGGAAGAGATAGAAGTCCTACGACTGGAAGGCTTCTCGTTAGTGGCTGACGATATGATGATCACCGCTCAAAACATCGTGGATTTGGTGTTCTCAAGTCATGGCGGATGGGCTTTCCTCCAGCTTGGACAGCACCAGCAGTCCTTCCTCCAGCAGATGCAACAGAATTACTCTTTCAACTTGCCCCAACCAAACTTCTTCATCAATCAGCAGATGCCACCACCAGCGATGATTGGCCAGGCTCCCACCCAGAATGTTGTAGTGCACTCACATGTAGCCCCAGCGCCCGCTCAAATCCAAGGGCCCTCCGAACAAGACAAAAACGAGCTTCATCTCGACCGACTCAACAAAGAAAACGACCGCAACGAGAAGATGAAGAACAGATACGAGGATGAACTAGCAGTGAAGGAGCGAGCGAGGTTGGAAGCTCAAGCGAAGAAGACGATTGAGGCAGCGGAGGAGAAGGCTCGTAAGCTCAAGGAGGCCGAGGAAAGATTCGAAAGGACCAAGATTGAAAACAATTTGAAAGAGGACACAATACTGCGCATTGACGAAGCGAAGAGCAGACAAGACGAGCTGGATTGCAAGACGCGTGAGATGACGGAAAGGACAGAGCAGGCAAAGATTGATGCTGCACGAAGGTTTGAGTAAACACGTCAGGAAGCAGCCGCGAAAAGGGAGCAGCAGAGGCGAGAGGAGGAGAGGCGAGAGGAGGAGAGGCGAGAGGAGGAGAGGCGAGAGGAGGAGAGGCGGGATCAGGAGAGACAGCGACAGCTCGATGCCTCCAGAAACCGAACAAATGACTTGAATAGTCAATCATACAACCAGCAGCGCATGCTACCGGAACGCGAAAGACCACGGCGGTCCTCCCCGATTCCACAAAATCAACTCGTTTCTGACGATGACGATGACGACTCCGACAGCGACGAAGAGAAGCGGAAAGATCCGTACGAGCTTATCGGTCTGCCCGACAGAGGGCACACACCAGTCAAAGACATCGAAACTACTCAACGAGTGCTGAACAAGATTCATCAGAAGACTCTCGATAGTGCGATGTCGGAATCCAAGAGACAACATGCTGAGAAACGTATGGTCGAGATCAAGTGGGCAGCGGCCATTCTCTTAGATGAAATGAATAAGAGGGCTTATGATGAGGCTGGTGCTATATTTCCTCATGAGCAGCAGGCTTGGAGGAGGAAGAGTAAGTGAACCTTCCGAAATGGATGAGACAAAGACTAATCGACACGGGTGTAGATGGCATCAGTGGTGCTGGCGGTAGGAAGTAAAACTCTGGGTAGGGTTCTACAAGTTCCCCGCCTTGTCTGATATAGCTATAGTCATGTTCCGTTAGTCAATGAAGCATTCCATCTGTAATATCACTTTATAAATACGAAAGCGCATCATCAGTAGTGACAAAAGGCTTGTTTGACAATTTAGACGAAGATGGTTGTTATCGCCAACACCACAACAAATATGATCGTTCTTACGCGAATGACCATGACAGCCAATGAGGCCAGGCTATTCCTATCAAGCGGTAACCGGTGTAAAGATGTTGATAGTGTTCGCGTTGACAGCACTATGGTTTGTGGCCAGCGAAATGGAAGAACTCTTCATCATTCCAAGCTCAGAATCAAGACAGACGATCTATGCTTCAGGAAATACAACTTCCCCTTGCTACACAGCATTTCTATCCCCTTTTCCCTTACTCTCGCCTAATTTTCACACATCATAATGTACCATATCGACATGAACAGCCCGCCAACAGCAAGTATTCGGGCAGACCCCGAGAGCCCTGCAGTACCTTCCGCGGCACTGGGCGCAAATGTCGGGGCTCCACGGAATGAGTTTCAAGCAGAGCCACTGCAAGATTTTGATCACGAGAGGGTCATCATTGCGTCTTGGGGTCAATACCAGACACTAGCTCAAATGCGCGCTTCGCCTTACTACACTTGCATCCGACTACCCATATCCTCCGGCACCATGTTCGTACCGCCTCTGTTCCCAGATCTTTCACCACGTCGTGAATCTGCCATGGTAAGGCCATGTCTAGCTGGCTTTGAGAGTCGTGATCTACATGCTGATTAAGAACAGCTGGAACAGCATGTGACTCTCCACGCCGTTCATCCTATACCGACGCGATACCTACGAAGCCTCGCGCAAGATCAGTTGGAGTTCCTTCTCGGCTATTGGACCGAGAAGAGGATCCAGCCTGATGGTGAGCTCGCTAGACGAATGTGTGGGACGATGGAGGCTATTGGACAGATCGTGCATTCGGTGGAAGATGAAGTTATGTGACCGCATGCGTTATGTTGGACAGGTTTAAGTGTCCTGAATAAGTCGGTTTTGTATCAGCGTTGTCATGTACCACATGTTTCTAGTCGAGGATTCCCTTGCACAATTCACTTGTGGGTCTCAACCGCCCCATGATGCGTTTTCCACTTCTCTTGATGCCGTTCGTTAGACGAACTATATGCAGCAACGAACTTGGAAGGCCATGCCCTCGACTTACGTATTGCCAGGAAGTGAAGTCTTGTTTTGAGAAGTTGTGCATATCGACTGACGCTGCTTCCTTTGTAGAGCAGTAGTATGGCGAATAGCGTTGGCAAGGAGCGTGGTAAACTTTGGTTTCGATTTCTGAAGTAATCAGTACCAAGCTCTTGTTGTCAAGCCAGCAGACATGGCGACCGAGATTCCGTCGAGGTAGCGTTCGTTGACTCGATCCAGACCAGGAACGAAATTTGCAAAGCCAGCAAAGCAGTGCCGGCCAACAAACCCACGCGAACATTTGTATCGCATTGTGAGCTATTGCCAACGGCAAATCGGTAGCAGAATATCTATAAAGTCAGTAGGAAGGCAACATCTTGCTCAACACTACCAGCATCCTCAACACCTCTTTGCACCAAGACTCATTACCGTACTGCAAAGCGTATCAAAGCAAACACATCAACTACACGTCCAAACACCGTTACTGCAATACCTTACAACATGAGTAACCCGCCCACCACACCCATGCCGACTCCCGGCCCCGAAACTCTCGCGCAGCCCTCGACTGCACGCCCCCTAGTCGAACTTCCTCCCCGCCCTTCCGCGCGTGGTGCATCTAGTGGAATTGCTCCAGGTACCGCGCCTGGCATGATCGCGCCCACTCGCCCCATGCAACTGCGGCAGTTTACCCCCAAAGACTTTGAAGAGGTCGTCACTTTGTGGAGCGGCTATACCACCCGTGAAATCGTCGTCGAGTCTCCCTTCTACACCAAGACGACCATCATAGTCGATCCTCGCGCAAAGGCCCAGTTCCCCGACAAGAGCGAGATCACCGAGCGAGTTGTGCACGCCGTGCACCCGATTCCCCGCAAGCAGCTTCAAAATCTTGGACCTGTCTGTCTGCACAATCTAGGTGCGGGTTTAGAGGAGGAGCGATGGGACGTTGACAGGTCTCCTGAGTTCAACGATCGTGTGCAGGAGACTCTGGCTCGTATTGACGACGCGTTGGAGTTCATTTTCCGTGTTCATTTGCCGGGTACTCGGATTTTCAGCGGAAGACAGCCTTCTGTGTTGTAAGCTTGAGTGAGGATAAAGGTGGAAGTTGGTGGGGGGAGACCAGCAAAAGTGCTTGCTGCTTCTGCACAACAGCTCGATTGGCGGTATCATGTACTTGATAACAGATAGCTCTAGTGCACAAGCTGGAACCAATGAAATATGGCTCGGTTGACCTCTCAAGGCTCAAGTTTCGTGATGACGTGTCCCGGACTGCTGTGATTGTTCGCGGCAAGTGTCAACCCGGTGCATGCCGCACGCGCCGTTGTACGCCAGCGCTGGAGGACCGAAGGTTTTGGGTACAATTGCGAGGTCTGCTGTTTCAGTAGATGGGTCGGGATTTGCGGAGAAGAACATCAGTAGATGTGTCGTGTCTGACGTGACGGCACGTAGTCTCGATGGACCGAGCAGTCGCGTCAACGCGTCACAGCCGCGATCTTTCTGAGCCTCGGTCCGCTGCTAGCGCATGCTATCACAGGGACTACTACCTCACTTTTGTGCGCGAGTCGATGCGAAAACTATAAATGTGCATAGGTAGAAGTCGGTATCTAAACCATCCCCACCATAAACCCGAGACGCCTTGTCCTTATTGCCTGTATCAAAACACCCATCGCTGATGCATACCCCCAAAACCCAGAACCCATCCCAATCCATCCCATAGGTACCATTCCACCCACATACGCCATTCACAGATTGCCGATAACAACCATGAATCTCAATTTGCCATCCGTCCTCTTACTTGCAGCTGGGTTGGCACCAGCCAGGGTATCATCTCCGCCGTTATTGATCGTGATTTCGTCCAGCATCAAAGTGCTGCTCTTCCATCCCCAGCTCTGACTGAAGTTGAAGCGGTCAGGCGCGCTTTCGTAGATGCTGAGCATCCTTCCGCCCTTAGATGGGCTATAGATCTTGAAATAGGTTTTGATTGTGGGTCGGCCGTCGACATAGGGAGGGAGTGCGGGTATGACGGCTCGCGTTTTGCGCTGTACTCTAGAGGCCAGAGAGGGGTTGATGTAGGCGGCGGCGTCTGACTCGTCGTCGTCATCGGATGGGTCTGAGTCGTGTTCGGATGGCGAGTAGGGAGCGTTAGCGAAGGAGGGAGAGTCTATGGTATCGCCGTCTTGGGGTGGTGAAGAGGCCAGATTCTGGAAGCCCCATTGTGGGATACCGCGAGTGGGTAGACGACTACGATGGCGACCAAGACTGCCGCTAGAGAAGAGTGGGTTGCGCAGTCCCAGAGAGCCGAGAGCAGGGTCGGGATCTCCACCACTGCCAGAGGTATCCTCTTCAGCAGCAGGATCCATGAACGGAACTCGGGTGCTGCGCCGCCGATCACGTCGGTCACTACGCATGAGCATCTCGCGCTCTAGCTGGCCGATACGCTCATCAACCGAGCCGTTGTTCTGTTGGCTGAGACCACTGACATGTCCAGCCTCATCTACCTCTCGCTCCTTGGCACGGTGGAGATATACACCCAACTGGATATTCTTGGCAGAGCGAACTTTCTGAATGTAGATGTTCCACAGAGAGCCTGCGTAGGATACCGTCCTCGAATAGACGCGCTTCTTCTCTTTGAGGAATCGTGGATTAGGAAACTCAGCCGAGAAGCGGAATGGTGGAAATTCGGTGTAAGCGATTGGTTTTGGCTGACCAGCGTTGCCGCCACCAGCAGAGATTGGGCGTTGGGCAAAGTCCATGCGAGTATTTGGGTTCGTCAATGTCAACGGAGTAGAGGCAAAGTCGGTGGCCCATTGCGCATCCTCTGGCTGTATCGTAGCTGATAGGCGTGAAGCATGGCGCTGAAAAGAGTTGGATGTCGTAACAACAGGATCTGCGCCGTTGCCCAAGACAATGTTGCAGTCCGAGCTTGGGATCCAAAATTTCCGTGGCTTGCCATTGCCGTCCCAACTATCCGACTCGATGTCGCCTTCGTCGATAGGATCTGCCATCTCTTTTTGCTTTCCTTTGTTAGTGAGCTCGCTCCCAGTCTTCGTCGCCACATTCGCTTCTTCGGGATCTGGAGTTGATTGACATAGACCCAGCTCCTGAGCAGACTCATCGGTGTTGAGCACCCTCTGGCGGAGGGCCAGTTGCTGCCATAGCGCATTGGAGATGACCCTTTCGGGCATCACTGGTAGGCCAAACACGTCGCGAGCGTTCCTGATAAATTCAAGCTGCTCGTATTCCATGTGAATGTAGTGGATACCTTCGTCTAGCAACACGAGTATGCGCTCAATGTCCGGCAGCGTGTAGAGAGCAAGCCAGTCAGCCTGCGCGTCGGACGAGGAATGCGCCGTTGTCAAGGCGTTCTGTCGATAAACACCGTCGAAGCGAACTGCCATGAGACGAAGAGAGTTGGGTGCTTGTGGGATGGGCCTCTGTCCCCGCTGGATAAGGCCAGCCTCGATGGCTGCTTGACGTAGCCGGCGGTCGAGAAGACGCTTGGAAAGTACCCAGCGGTCCCACTCGCTATCCACAAAGAACCCGTCAGACCCTACAAGCTCACGGACTATGTCGCCGGGCATATCGTCCCAGTATTTAAGAGGCATTTCCCAACCGTTCCTACTTAGCATCGCCTTGGCCGACTCAAGTATGCGGTCTCCAGATCGGCCATAGTAGTTGGAGGTGACTAAGCGGATGAGGTAGGCAAGCGTGTCCGGTGCCATCTGCCGCAGTATGGATTCGATCGCAGAGTCGATGAGATCCTGCATCTCTAGCCAGCAGCCAGTCGCGAAGAGACCAATGGCTTCAGCGTCCAATTCTTTCGAGATGTCGACGCCATAAAGTTTACGTATAGCCAACTCGAATGATGCTTGCGTAATGCTGGAATCGATCTCTTCCGGGTGTAGTTTGACTTCCTTGGACCGGCTTTCGAGCCAAGGCTCAGAGAGGGCGGTCGTGAAGAAGGGTGCGCGGTCGAGGATGAGGCGGTGCAGAGGATATCGCTGGCCAAAGGCGATGATAGTAATGTCCGAGTGTCGGCCTTCGAGCAGCCCGCGGGTGTAAAGGTGGTCAGGCAGAGGTATGGCTTCGCCTGAAACTGACAATGTTAGCCTGTACACACGAGAATCTCATAGTAATACTCACCTCGCAAATACAATGGTCCCGTCGCGTTGTTGTAGGAAGGTGCCCTAGTTCCAGGCATGGCTGCGCTCTCGCTGAACAACCTACTAATGTCGGTGCGAACAGAGTGCTCTGTACGCATCAGGTCCAACGTCGTGCGCCTTTTGCCTTGTTCTTCCAACGGGGTGTTTGGATCATCGGCGCTCTTTTGGGCTTGATCTATCCGGGTTTGCAGCTGAACTATGGGCGGTCGTTCCTCTTGACCGTGAGCTCTGGACGCACGCGATGTCATGCTGGAGTAGTTGGCCAGTGACGGCATCGAGCGCGAGTAGCTGAGAGACCTCGAGTGGCTCACGTGTGCCCTGGGACTGTCGGGGACGTCGGACGGCGCAGATGGTGGTATAGCGGGTACGTTGGGCGAGAAGAGGCTGACGTATGGGGTACTACTCGAGCCTGCGCCGCCCTCTGTACGCTCTCCCTCGCCCAACGGCCATGTTTCGTTGCGCTCTAATCCACCAATCTGCGGCTCATTCTCATGATCGAGGTTGTTGTTCCCGTGACCTGTGGGTGGTTGATGGGCGGGATCCATGCTATGCTATAAGCTGCTTTGGAAGTACATGGGGCGTGGTGGTCGACGACGGCTGGGTATGCGACCGGGGCGGGTGGGGTAACGCAGTGCACGCCGGGTCTAATAACACGGGATGGTCACGTACGCAATGGAGAGACGGTGAAAGTCATATAGGAGAAGGGAAGATAGCGGTCGCAAAATACGGTGGAGGCTGGGCGCATCACGCTGCCAGCACGGCAGACGCCAAATGGCGATCTTCACTAGGAGGGGTCCGGTGATGCAGTTGCGAACCTGCGGAGTGGGTCGTCGCTTCCGCCTGTCAACGGGCGTGGATATGCAGGGTTCGTTCTTGGCGCGACGCCGCGCCGTCGAACCACCGAAGAGTCAAAGTCGTTGACGTGCACACTTGCTGCCCTTGAAACTTCCCCCTTCCTCCCCAGATGTCGCTGTAATGGCTTCAATATTCCAGGCATTTCCGCAGCTGCGGACTGCTGCTCCACGCCTCTCACGACGCCTCTTCGTATGCAGGCCATGCTTTAATTCGCCGATTCGAGCCGCCGTCTCCGCTTCACGATCTTCATCCCGACTTTCCGTCCTGCAATCGGTGAGGTGGAAATCCACCCAGCCTCTCCGCAGTACCGCGACCATCGAGGGATCGAATGCGGGACGGGCGATACTCGCGGAAGCTGCGACCAAAACTGAGGGCCAGTCGAGCAGCTTCCCCAAGACAACCTCCAAGAGCGTCGCATACTGGCTGCTGGGCAGTGCTGCGAGCGTTTTCGGTATAGTCGTGTTTGGTGGTCTGACTCGTCTCACAGAGTCTGGGTAGGCACCGACGTCACCTCCTCCACCGCACCTGCTAAGTTGAACAGGCTGAGCATCACCGAATGGCGCCCTGTCACCGGCTCCCTCTGGCCCATGAGCCAGGCCGAATGGGACAGCGAGTTCACCAAATACAAGGCATCACCTGAGTTTGCCCAGCTCAACTCGAGTATGGACATGGCCGACTTTAAGCAAATCTACTTTATGGAATGGGCACATCGTCTCTGGGGTCGCGTCATTGGCATCACGTTCCTCGTACCAACCGCGTACTTCATCGCACGCCGCAGGGTAGCACCCTCAATGGCCTGGAAGCTCGTCGGCATCTGCGGCATGATCGGCTTCCAGGGTGTTATCGGGTGGTGGATGGTCAAGAGTGGGCTCAAGGACGACCTCTTTGAACCTGGTAGCCACCCCCGTGTTAGCCAGTACCGCCTGACTGCCCATCTGGGCGCTGCATTCACCGTCTACTGCTCAATGGTATACACTGGTCTCTCTATTCTCAAAGAGAACCGCATGCTGGCCGACCCAGTCAAGGCGGCAGAGACCATCAAGACTCTGCAGCACCCTGCACTCCGCATCTTCAGACGCTCTGTCTTCGGTCTTACTCTTCTCGTCTTCACTACTGCCATGTCAGGTGCCCTTGTCGCTGGTCTCGATGCCGGTCTCATCTATAACGAGTTCCCGTGGATGGGTATGGGTCTCACCCCACCCAGGAAAGAACTATTCGACCCCTTCTACAGCCACGTCCCAGACCAATCAGACCTGTGGTGGCGCAACATGCTCGAGAACCCGTCTCTCGTTCAGCTTGACCACCGCATGCTCGCAACAACTACCTTCACTGCCATCATGAGTCTCTTCGCATACACTCGCTTCGGCAAGGGTGTGCGAACTAAGCTTACCAAGGATGCCCATAAGGGCGTCCAAGGCATGGTCCATCTCGTCACTCTCCAGGTCACCCTCGGCATCAGCACGCTGATCTACATGGTCCCTACGTGGTTGGCTTCCGCACATCAAGCTGGAGCTCTTGCTTTGTTGACTGGAGCGGTCGTTCTCTGCAGCAGAATTACCATGCCACGTCGCGCTATCCTTCGCCAGATCATGAAGCCGCAGAGCGCGGGATCCCACACTGCTCCTCATATGAGGTCACGACTCGAGGCCGCCAAGGTTGCCGAGAAGTCATTGTAGTATACATCACCACCTTGTACGATATGTAGGTTCGCACATCATATAGACTATATCACCTTTCCTTGGTTCTACGTTCACTTTCTCATTCGCTTGTCTTTTGTCTCTTGACCGCAATGCATGCGGATGCTTGATATAGACATCAATCCATCGCATTGATCAAAGGTGAGTATGATGACTGATACCAAGTACTCGATGGTGTAGGAGCGCAGTCACATCGTCCCAGTTGGAATGCCAATGAGGACTAGTGCACCTTGTGCTCTGCCTTCTCTGTCGTGCGTCCGGCCTTATTACCGCTGGACACACTACCCGTCTCCACCATAGTCGCAGGATCGGTGCCAACCGCTTGTTCCCATCCTTCCTTCGCAATACGTCGGCTTCGCTTCACGACATCGCCTTCGTAAAATAGCCAGTCGACCTCTTCCAGCGTAAGATTGGCAGTTTCAGGATAGCAGAAATACTACACAACACGTTAGCGAATAGAGGTTGTGGTATCGTTTCGAATACATACGATTAGCGGTATGAACGCAAAGTTCAGCGCCATGAAGATAAGGTAGCCCTTCCACGCCAAGCTATCGAGAAGCGTAGGCGTGACCATGACGACGAAGAAGTTCCAAATCCAGTTCGCTGAGATCCCGACAGCTGTACCTTTCGCTCGTACATGTAGCGGTAGGATCTCGGGAACATAGACCCAAGGAATGCAGTTCATTGTCATACCGAACGCCAGCATGTACTAAAATTTGTTAGCTTCTCATTCCTAATGCGACGCATTTCTGCTTACAGTGAAAAAGAAAGCGACACTGGCGGACGCAGTGGCTTGCGACACGTCGCCTCCCTCTGACCGGAAGCTCAAGAGGATGGCTATCATCATCATGGATAAGCCGAGCCCGAGAGAGCCCCACATCATGGGTTTCCGCCGGCCGGTGCGGTCCAGTGTGAAGGTTGGGAAGAGGGAGCCGATCGGGAACATTAGGTTGATCACGCCTCCCATGAGGAGGGCGAGGTTTCTGTCAAGGCCGACGTTGTCTTCTAGGACGGAGGTGATATAGTAGACCACCAAATTGAAACCGCCCATCTGGTTCATGAACTGCGCGCCGTAGGCAAGCAATACACGACGTCCAGTCTGCACACGATCTTTTTTGAGAAGTTGCGACCATTTGTACTCCCCATGCTCTCTTTCGACTTGCAAAGCCTCAAGCACTTCTCTGTTCTCTTTCTCAATCTTCGGATCATCGGGCGTACCATCGTAGACATCGCAAAGGATTTGGAGCGCTTCTTCGTGGCGACCATGCGCATACAAGTACCGGGGCGACTCAGGGAGGCCAAAAACCAGCACGATGACGATGATCGCGAAGATAACCTGGCATGCAATTGGTAAACGCCACGCAATCGATCCTTCCGTAAAAGACATCCCATAGTCGAACCAGTACGCCAGCTCGATCCCCACGCCGACGAAAAGCGGTTCCGACGCGACGAGACGACCGCGCTTATTCGCCTCGCAGAGTTCAGATTGGTACATAGGCACAGTTGATGTCTCGATGCCCGTCCCAATTCCTGTCAAGAACCGCGCAACCATCATATGCGGCACCGAGTACGCACTCGCTTGGAGCGCGCCGCCGACCTGTTCTCATTAGCCGTAATCTCCACACCGCCGCCGCCCATATATCACCTACAATAATCCAAACCATAGCAATCCACATAGCCAGCCTCCGTCCCGTCTTCTCGCAAAACATAAAGCTGAGGATACATCCTGTGAAGCAACCTAGATTGTATATGGATACAATGATGCCTTCAAGGCCGGGCGAGGGGTGGTCAAAAGTGTTTAGAAAGTTTTCGTTACCGACGATGCCGCTGAAGACGCCTTGGTCGTAGCCGAAGAGAACGAAGGCGAGCTGGCAGGCGATTGTTATGGCGGCGCGGAGTTTAAAGCCGCGACCGTACCAGTTGAAATGGGGGGTGTGAAACATCGTGGACGGGGTCTTGTCACGTCCACTGGAATTGAGTGGCGGGATGCCACGCGCGCAATGGAGGTGATGGGGTATGCAAAGAAGACTGGAGTACCTTGTGCGCCGGGTCCATGCATCTATACCTACATCTTCATACCTCACCGCTCGCTACCCGGATCATATCACCCGAATAGACGCAGCATGCTAGATCTGACCCCGACGTCACAAAAGATGGTCAGTCGGCAAAATCGCCGTTATCACAAGTTGCCTGCGCGCATAATTGACGGAGTAATTGCGGGGCAAGGGTTATTGAAGAGGCTCTGGCGAATGATTAAGACGCAATGGTACCGTTGGAAGCCTCCCCGAGCTATTGGTGGCGTTGTATGGTCGCGTAGATATGCGCGTCTGGGGTAGGATGGGGTGATCTGCAGGTGCGGAGGTGGACAAGGGGGGATGACGTCGCGAGGAAGGCACGGTTTGGGAAAGCCGGCGATGATGCAGCAAGGGCGGCTGGTAGGAGCAACAAGAGCTTATTTGATCGAGGCGCGAGATCTCCATACTTATCCCGCGATCAATGCTATGGGGCCTATAACTCATGGATGCTGTAGTGCTGCGAAGTCCAGGTTGCTGGTGTGCTTATCTCCGCGCCATCTCCGGAGCGATCCTGCCAAATCTCAGCCTTCACTCCATCTCCATTCATCAATCTACTATCGCTGATTGCAATATCCCCTGCAACAACGACGAGATGTCCATTGATGATTACTCATACGACTGGAGCACACGAGCGGCACTCCTATACGGTGAACGCTAACTTAGGCTGCGGATCAAAACAATGGATACACCTGTGTGGCGAACGCTGTTGAGACATGTCTAACGACATGGGCCAAACGCGATGTACGCCAACTCGGTCTTTACCATTCTATACCACCTGGTCAAACAACCTCAACAAGCGCACGTGGATTTAGATCGATACAAGGAAACACTCGATGAACAAACAATGGGGGGACTTCATTAAGTGAAATCTCTTGCTTCGCATTTCACGCTTCTGCCTACGGAGGAGAAAAGCTTTCTGGTGCCTTCCTCTAACCTAGCGCCAGCATTTTATCAACCGGCTTCCAACTTGATACACAGCCTAGCTTCAGATCAGAAGTACACCAAATATGGCGGCTCCAATGGGTACAACGACCAACCAACCCACCTCTAATCAAGGTCATCTACAGTCTTTGATAGCCAAAATCCGTAAAGAAGTCCGACGACCGACACAGATAGAGATCTCATATGCAAACAATCTCACCCAGGCTGTCGAAAAGGAAGCTTGGAAAGAGTCTCAGGAAGTTCGCAACAGCATGTTGGGCGTCGCTCAAGATGCTCGGAGGATGTTTGGCCTTCGACCTTTCGATATGTCATTAGGTGGGGAGAACGAAGCCGATGGCAAAGAGATGGTTTTGCGAAACGGTGGGAAGCGATCAAGTTCTACGGCACCAGCCCCGAATCCATCAAAGCGCCAACAGCGTGAGCCTATTCAACCACCACCACCGCCTTCCAGGAAGATAGAACAGAAAGCCGAGGCTGTGGATCAGTCTGGTCGTGTCCGTCACATTAAAGAGGAAAACACCGTCACTAACTCCCAGAATGGTCCACACGGCCATGGCCATTCTCAGTCGATCGAGGCTCCATTCGCCACTAGCTTCCTCACCAACAGCGCGCCAATCTACAACCAAAACATCAACAGCGGGTCTGGCCAGCAGAACATCAACGTCTATGGCGTATTTGAACCTCCGCCACCCTCAGCTACCGGCGCTGCGCCAACCGAGTACGAGATCCCTACCGGGCCAGAGCATCGTCTAAACCGAGAGGCTGGACAGCAGAAGTTCTCGATCAATGATACTGTTACCAACAAGACGGCCGGCGATGGTAAGCCCGGTAGTCGCAGTCAGACATTGAAGGGCCCACATGGCAATACGCACATGCGCATGACAGCGCCAGTGTACAACCAGAACGTCAACACTGGGAGTGGACAGCAGAACATCGACGTCATCGGAAAGATGGACTTTGGGGAAAAGGACCGGAAAGACCGACCACGTCAAGATCTCGCAGTCCCAGTCGCACAGCCTGCGAACCCACAAACACAGTGGCGCGACGATCAGGGACCAGGTAACCCACACTACGGTCACAGTCCTTCTTACCGGCCAACTTTACCTCAAGGCCTTGCAGTTGCGACCTGGCAGAACGCAATTCCACTACCACAGCGACGCGACAATGAAGCACCTCGTAGTCCATTCTATCGGCCAGCTTCGTCTCACTATCGACCAACCTCACCTCAGTATGGACCAACTTCGCCTGAGTATCGACCGACCTCGCCGCAGTACTCATATGGACCAACTTCGCTTCACCGTCGATCTCGCTCACCTCGCCGCCGCGTCGCCCCGCATAGTGACAGTGGCGCTATGGATGAGTACCGGGATCGTTCGTACGGGAGGCGTGATGGTCTTCCATATGAGGATGCTCCGTATGATTCAGAAGATGATTGGTCGAGACCAGGTGGCGTGGATCGTTCTGGTCCAAGGACTCCGCGTCGCGAACGCTGAGACGAGTGGCATGATAGCCGACGGGGATTAGTATAGAAGACTAGATCACAGTCAGACGTGTGTATGACCGGTATAGTCAACAGGTAAATATATCCAAGCAATGTGTTAGAGACTGCGATAGCACAATGCACTACAAAGATCACCAAGCTCTTGTACTTATCCGTTAAACCATTCTTCTTCTACGTGAACGTGATTATGATGGTCTGACGCCTGTTGCAGCTCTAGCCTGGCTTCATCACCAGACTAGTCTACAGCGAGGGAATCCCTAATCGCGTTCTTCATTTCCTCCTGGATTTCCCCCGGGGTTCGCTTCCTGGTTTGCTTCCCGGATCTCTCCCTCATTTCCTTCATCACCCTCGCGGACGACGTGTCTAGGCGAATCATGTGGTTCTGCGATCGGCACCCCTCTTTCTTCATCGCTGGGTTGGTCTTCATCATCAAATTCGACACTCTCAGTGCTCGTGGTTTCGATAGTCGACATTGAGTCACCTTCCTCGCTAGGGTGATCGGTATGGTCAGAGTTATCAGATTTAGGGCGAACAAGTTTGGGAACATTGTCTTTGGAAGGTACAGGAGAGAGGCCACGCTTGGCGCCCCCTTGAGCATTAGAAGACATTTTAGTGTAGCCCTATTGCTAGAACTGATAAGTTGGTCTAGCTTGTGGGCTGAAGCTTTGTATTACGTATCTCACTGTAGCAAACCTCGTCATTGTCATGGGAACCCAGGAGGGTGACTAGGGCTCGTGATGATATGATGAGTGTATTGGAGAAAAGATCACATTTGCGAATTTTGTCGTTTCATGGGAGCAGAGATTGAAAAGCCTATGTCGGCTTTGACGATGACGAGATCTTGGCCTGTATATGCTGGAAGATGTCAGAAGTTCTGTGTGTTGTATAGCGAATGCGCTTTGGTTGCTACCTTGCGGCCGTGTGCTCGTCAGCTGAAGAGCAGGGGGAACTAAGGTGAGGCCTTCATCTAGACAAGCGTTACAGATTGTTGTGAGATCAGGTGGTTGGCATGGGTTGTTTCCCGACTGAACATTCTCCGCGTTCACATCTTGTCTTATGAGAGATAAACAACAACCGCTCACCTAGCACTGGGTGTACGCGGCAGTCTGCCTTCATGAAGAGGGTGACTGCTTACGCTCAAGGCCAAGTCTGAGCAAACGCGGTTAAAACGCGGGTTAAATGGGCCACAGGCAGAGAGTCGCTCACCGAAGGTTACTCCGGTACGCATGAACAGCTTTACAGCTTCTCCCGTTCTCCAGGTAGGAAGTTGGCGAATGGAATAGTGATGGTTCCCTGTGTCGCGCATACCGCGGCCATTCTGTTCAACCGCATATGCATCGTGTCAAATCCAGACCCAGCTACCACTCCGTCGGGACAGAAACATGTGAGGAATAGTTTGAGGGTTGCTCGCTCGCATTAAGCAGCCCTCACCCCGCGGAGAACGTAACATAAACGCAAAGCTCGACCGCCGTGATGGAGAAGTGACTCCATCCGCTCAAGTCTCTGGGCTCAACGGGAACGGTAAGCATGGATCATGACTGGGAAATCAGCAGATCAAAGGACCAGAGTGATGTTCTTGGTAGAACACCCGGTCTCGACACGAGGCCAAGGCCCTATTTCACCCTAACAACGGGCCGATGCTCGGTCGACGATCATCAAGCGCGAAGAATCTTCCATGCCAATACGCCGGCTCCGAGGCCAGGCCTTGGCCCCACGCGGGTGCTATCAGATGGATTAAAACTGGGCGATTGGTACCACGACTAATCAATCTGATAATCGTCGCTTTATCTGATCCACCAACGTACACAACCGAAGATGGGTGCCTTAGGATGTGAGGAATTTGTGGTTCCAGAATTATATGGCTGGTTGGATGCTAATGCAAGCGCGCAGGGCTCAGGGCCAGCGACTCTGGCGACGCGAAGAAAGTTTTGGAGAGGAAGCTCGTTGTGAAGCTTGGTATGAGCATCTTCATCCCCATGGCGCTGCCATGCTAACTTCCATGTGACTAGACATCTTCATCATGGTCAGTACTGTCGCAAAACTCGACTACTCATGATGTCTGACTGTCTTGACTAGGTGTTTTGCTGTGCAGCCTACTTTTTCAACTACCTGGATCGCCAGGCTTTCGCTAATGCCTACGTCGCTGGTCTCCGCGAAGACATCGGCCTCAAAGGCAATGAGTATAGCATCTTGCTGTCGATATTCACTGCTGGGTCCGTTCAGTGTGACGATGTGGCATAGCACTCTAGCTGACAGCTTCGCAGTCTCGTTGTCGGCCAGATACCCCATGGTCTCATCATCCAGAAAGTTCGCCCTAGCATATGGCTTCCGTTCACTCTTATTCTCTGGTCCCTTTTGACCATGTGTTCAGCTGGGTGCAAGACGTATTCACAGCTTTGTGCAGTCCGCTTCTTCCAGGGTTTGATCGAGGCCAGTTTGTACAGTGGTAGCGTGTATGTGATGGGTTCATGGTAGTAAGTCGATCGAATTCCTATCCATGGGAATATTCTCACGTTGCCCGCAGCAAACCTTCCGAGATAGCCAAACGGGCTGCCATCTTTACTGCGGTCGGGCAGGTCGGGAGTATGTGCGCTGGTCTCATGATGACGGCAATGCACCAGACGATGGAAGGCAAAGGCGGCTTGAAAGGCTGGCAATGGGTGTTCATCATTGGTACGTGAGCGATTTCGAGGGCCGTCGCGCGCGCGTTGCTGATACATGTGGTTCAGACGGTCTCATGGGAATCCCAATTGGTCTCTTCGGATTCGTAAGTTGTTTCGGTGCTTGTACCCGAGCCTGAGGACTGATAGTAACCCTAGTTCACATTCCCGGATCTTCCGGAGTCAACAAGAGTCTCCTACATCACTCAGGCGGAAAGACAGCTCGCAATGACTCGTCTACCACCTAAGACAGCAGACACCCACAACATCGAGTTCAAGAGCCTTGCGAAGCGTGTTCTCCTAACGCCTACTATGTGAGTAAACACCTGGCGTGTTAGTCAAAACCAGGAAGTCATACTGACTCCTCCGCAGATACATCCTCACAACTTTCTCAGTCGTCTGCGCCATGCTCGAAGCCTTCGCCTTCCAGGGCATGTTCCTCCTCTGGCTCAAGCACAACAAGTCTCGCTTCTCCCAAACCGCTATCAACACGTACCCTCTTGGGATTCAAGCTGTTGCGATCGTCTCCCAGATTTTGGGCGGAGCCTTTATCGACCATACAGGTCATCGTCTGCCTATGATCATCTTTAGTGGAGCGATGCAGCTCGTCACCGCATCGCTTCTGCTCGTGCGCAACCTTCCAGATGCGGGAGTCTTCACAGCACATTACCTCAGTGGCACAAGTTTCATCGTGAATCCAATCATGTACGGGTGGGCCACAACCATCTGCCAGCGAACGGGCGACGATGCGGTGAGGGGTGTGACCGTGTATACAATGGCTATGGGTGGTCTTATCCTGTACACGTGGTGGGGTATTGTTATGTACCCAGCCACGGATGTACCGTACTGGAAGAAAGGAAGTATCACCATGATCGTGGTGGTCTTTGCCTTTGTTGGATGGGCGTTCGTGGTCAGATGGGTAAGTATCATTGGCGGATAAGAGATTTGGCGTGTGCTAACGATTCGTGTAGCTTGATAGGAAGACGGCGATGGCTGCGAACCGTGAGTCAGCTGAGTCTGGAGAGCTCGAGGCTCCGGAAATGGTTGATGAGAAGACGAAGTCTGGGTAATGGGCTTTTTCGCGGCCCCTCAGAAAGCACTGCCCCTTCGATTCGCGCACGTCAATGGTGTCGACAAACCCCTTGACGAAAAGATATGAGGGCAGTAATGGCTGCAGGCCGCAGTCGCTGATGCGCGACAACTTGCAGAAGGGTCGGTTGGTGCTGTGGGCGAAACGCATCGCGAAGGGATTCAAGGTCTCGCATGTCATCATTACGTCATCGTCATCTCCGCGTTGGTGGCGTTCCGTCGCAGAAAGACTGCACTCAATGCTCCTTTTTCCACAATACTGATCATCCTCATCGCGTCTTTGCTCTGGTCTTTAGCGATTTTGTTCGACGCGTCTACGTATGGATGTCTTTCAACCGGCGCCAGTACGACCAGTGAATATGTACTCACATCCCTTCACCAACTTTCCGTGCCCAGTCGAGATGCAGCTGTTGTAAGGCAGTATTTGTCGTGTCTTGACGCAGCTCTTGAGTTCGAAGTACATATCTGTCAATTCTCCGACGTCGCTGACCCGTAGCCATTGGAACATCCTCAGAGCGCAGTGTTCTACTTGCCTCATCCATAGCAATGGTAATAGGCTGGCCCGGTTCTTCTCCAGGTTCTTCCTGGTCCTCATCGCGCGGTTCTATACACACATCTCCAAGCCATTCGTCGATCCAGCGCCTCTTCCGAGACGACATCCTCTCTCCAAAATGTTGTGTCGCGATTGCTTTTGTGTGAGCCGGTGCGCCTAGCTCTGGCTTCGACTTTCTCCTTCGAACCTCGCGATCATGCCGATGTGCATCCGAAAGATCGCACTCAGCCTGCGCATAACCTCTGTCAGCTTCCTGCATCTTCGAGGAAATGTTGCGGCATTTTTCCAGCCATATCGGACCAAATTCTTCTTCTAGCTGATACGACCTTACACTTGCATTGACACGTTTCCCTCTCTGGTGAAACATGTAAGTCTTCAACTCCTGATCGTACTGCTCGCGAACATTGTTAAACTCCTTCTCAACGCGTGTCGCCTCGTCCGCTGTTTGGCGGAGCGCGTCCCGTAATGCCAGCAGGTTTTCGTTGCGAGGGTAGTCGTTCCATGCGTTATTCCACGTACTTTCTGGTTCTTCTTGTTGCAGAGGTCTGAATGCCCCGCTATATATCTCCACAATCGGCGGGGGTATCCAGTCCCCAGGTATCTCATCGTTCCAATTGTTCTCGGGCCAATCCAGGTTGAGATCGTCTACATGCTCTCTTGTGTCCACGATTTGGACCCGCGGATCCTTGTCGTCGCCATCGATGTTGGGCAGAACGCCTATCCGTACTAGAAGATCATCGAGCAAATCCCAAAGCGTTTTCTCTACGGCCATAGTGTCCACATTTACTTCATGGTGTCGAGCGTAGATATTATCCTGCTCTACCTGGAGCTCTTCTCCCTCTGCTTCAAGGGCTCGAATACGATATATGACTTCCGATTTACGCTTCATCGCCCATTCGAAGGTCTCACGATCATACCCACCGTAGTTGCTCGAAGTCAACCTAATGAGCTCCTGCTGTTCCTCTTCGCATTTTGCCTTTTCTTCTACCATCTTATCATACTTTCGCTGAACTTCGTCCAGCTCGTGATTGCGCAACGCATACGACGAATCGGCGTCACGACGGGCCAAGCCCGCCTTTATTATGGCACAGAAGAGCTCATACGTCGGCACGATGCCTGCACGAAACTTCTCTCGACTGCCAACTAATAGCAAACCACTCTCGTTGTGGAAGTCATCCTTGTGTATAATATCTGGCCACCACCAGACCGGGTCAAATGGTATGAGGCCTGCAGGAAGGTGTTGTTGCAGGGTGGAAGAAGCTGACGGTATACCGTGTGACAGATGGCTATTTCGCGCCTGTGACTGATTGTGGGAGGAACCCGATGCTAAAGTCCTCATTGGTTTGTTCTTTCCCTCAGTGGGGGCTACGTACTGAGGATGAACCTGCGGTGCCAGCCTGAGGAACTTTACATCTTCCTGAGCTCGGTAGTCGTGATCGGCTTTTCTTTTACTGAACATTGGATGGATTTCAGGAGATAACCAAAGCCAGCTCGATGTATTCTTCCCCTTCTCTGACCGGTACGTTGGCTGGATGTCGAGTGCAGCGTCCTCAGTAAGGCGAAGAAACTTGGAAGGACGCCTCTCAGGATAGGAGACGTTTTTCTCGCAGGAATCACTGACGTAGTCTTCGAAGCCTCTTTTTCCAAAAGTTTTCGTCATTTTTGATGAAGACCCGGGGCCTATGCAAGTCGTTATTGGTCGCGTCAGAATGTCTAACAGGCGTCTGTTGACATATAGGAGTAGGAATCTCGCGACACGGCAGTTATGTCAAATCCCCACAGGAGAGAAGCTTACCATTTCGACAACGTTGACATATTGGACGACAAAGACGTGTTGTCATCTGTTTGGATCTACCTTTGTCCCCCTCCCGTCTTTGTTGCTCGACGATCTTACATAAGCGGAGTGGGCACATAGCACAGCACCTCGACAGCTTTGAACACTGTGAATAATAGGTGCGTGTACTCCGAGAGACCTTCTCGAGTTGGGCGCGGACCCGAGTGAAATGGTCTAGCGACCGCAATTCACACTCGTAGGTGGGCACTCTGCCCCCTCTTCCTATATCAATGGCGACTACTCGGGCTACCAAGGCTTTCATCAACACCTCTGGAGTCGCGACCGTCTCAACCCAACTACAGCGATCGACTGGTCATGTCAGAACGAGATCGCCCAAGGGACGACGGCCGTGGATCTGGCGGCAGGCGGCCCAACGACCGCGGTCGACAAGCAGATAGATGGAGACCACCAAGTCCGTCCCGCCATGATATTGATAGGGTGAGGCCTCGCGATCGATCCCCACCAGTCCGAACCCAGGGACACCAGAGACTTTGTGAAGACCAGCGACCTCCTCGGCTTTCAGGTTCGCAGCAAATCCGTTCGATTGCCACTCTGCATGCTGGACGCGACGTGACGAATGTGTTCAACAATCAGAATCCAAACCACATGCCGCTTGGGGTTCGAAGCGACAGCCGCGCCACATCAACTGCTCTGATCTCTGGAGAACCAACAGTACCTAGCACCGCGCCAGGCTTTGGAGAGGTCCCAAACTATCAGGCCAGGCCTACAGTTAGCATGACGGGATACGAAAACTCTGATACGGGCGGAAGTTGTCGAGAGCCCCCTCAGAGGGCCAAGACAGCTTCAACTCGAAATAGCAACTCCGGTCGCTATCCAGCCCCAGATGGACACGGACGTGTGGATCAACACGTTCGAACAAGTCGGCACGCTGTGTTACCAAACTTCACACCATTATCCTTCGGAGACATCGTCGACTTCTGGATGATCAAGCACTGTCAGATCGACGCCGATCAGCGAATGACACAGGACAAACACGGAGAATGGTGGTTCACAGATAAAGGCGTACTCCGCTTCCACCCAAACGAATATATCCGGAATACGTATGGCCAGGATTGGCCGCATGGCTTTTACTTGGAAGCTCGAGATGGCCTCGTAACTGCTACGTTACATGAAGACAACGGCAGGGCAACAGTCCAAATCCTACCTATCTGGACTTATGGTAGTACGGGAGCTTGGAGAGACGACGCGGAGACCATACTTAAATCTGCAGAATTTTGCGCTTCGCATCTCTCTATCATGAACCGGGATCGAGTCGATGATCGAGAACGATATGAAGCAGATATCAGAGAAGAGCTGGCGCGGAATCCGAACTCCACCCAGACGATCTCACGCGGTATCGAGCATCCAACTCCCAACGGCCATCCCTACGCGCCTATGGACTGCGTCGCTGTGGTTAATCGACTCCATCCGTACGATCCGAAGCGCAATTCTGTGATTAGGTTCTCCATGAGTATCACTGTGGACTTGGGTGAGCGGGTGCGTCGGCATTCTACACTGGAGCCTGAGAGCAGGATCCGTACCCGAGATATCTACTGGAAATGGCTCATTATCAGCATGATGGATCCTCAAGAGCGCCGTACAGCTGACTATGGCCCGTATGCCTGGCTTAGAGGAATGGATCCAAGCTATACGGGGTCGCTACACACACCTGAAATCGGCACCACCAACGCTGCACCTCCACAGGTGCCGACAGTACCTCAGCAGAACGGGGCATTGCCGCCTTCTACCGGTCCAGCTGCGGTGGCTACACCTCATCAGATGTCAATGGTACCCCATCAGAATGCAGCCCCACCACATCCTACTGGTACTTTGAGTTCTACTCCTCAGCAGATGTCGACAATGACTAATCAGAACGGAACCCTGCCATATCCTAACAATATTATCAACGCTGCACCTCCACAGGCGCCGGTAATACCTCAGCACAATGGAATTTTGCCACCTCCACCGTCGGCGAAGCGCAAGGCTGACGATACAGAGGTAGCGTCGTCTGTAAAGTCCGAACAGCAGGCTGCAGTGGGAAATGATATGGCAAAGGCAAAAGACGACAACTTCGGTGCACAAGCTGCTGACTCAACCGCACCACTGGAGCCAGCACAAAAGCGACAGAAGACCACGATCAGCGCCGAGGACGAAGCCGATGTTGATGCAGGGCCTAAGTCTGATGACGCAGACCCCAAACAAGAGCTTGAGAACCTAGGAGACGATCTCCCATTGAACTGCAGATATTGCAGTTATGAGGACATGATACGGCTACGCTAGTTGGCAAAGTCTTGTCAGAAGAGCGACGTCGAGCGAGTAAGCATTGCAGCAGATGTCTCGACAGTGTATAATATTTCTCTCTTTTTGTAGTACTACCTCGTACTCGAATTGTTGCTTATTGGCTGTCTTACTAAATCCTTCTCTTTCTTGTCTTGTTCATACTTTTACGTTCCTGGTCTACTTATTCATGTTCATAGTCGTCATCGTTTGTTGGTATCGTTCCGCTGCCGACACAGTCTTCGTTGCTCATTTCGCGCTCAGGACATGTTAATGCGTGGCTGAATATGTTGAATAGGCATTGTGGAAGACAAAGG